ATGGGCTGCAACGGCACTGCGGGTGGTCGGTACGACGACACAACGGTGGTGCCTGAGGCGTACAACGATGACGTCATGTCGTGGAGCTTTTGTGCTTCTTCGTCGCTCTCCTCGCCATCGCGCAGCAGCGCCTCCAGCCCTCCACGCTGCGGCTCGCGCAGCTCCTGCCAGTGGCGGTCCTCCGCGTACCACACAACGACGCTGTACACAGTGATCGCAAGCAGCACAGTGGTCAGCAGCAGCACGATAGCCGCATAAACCCTCGCACCGCCGTCGCTCGGCGCAAGGTGGTTGGCCGCGCTCACCAGGCACAGCGCCGCAAGGAGCACTAAGCTCACCGCGTGCATCACCGTCAGGAAGGCCGAGCGCATCATGTTCGTGAAGGCAACCACGCCCGCACCCGCAAGCAGCACAGCCGCCATACAGAAGTACTGGACGTGGCAGCCTCCCACGGGCGGTTGCACAGCAGCAATCAGGCACACCACACACAGCACCGACAGCTGGAACACGCACCAGTACACGTAACTGCCCCTCATGTTCGTCAGCATGCCGCCGTACATCCGCTGCTGCGCTGCGGGGTGCCAATACCCGACGGGGTACAGCAGGCGCTCGTGCAGCGGCTTCCTCAAAAACTGCCAGTACTTCGTGAAGCTCGCGCCCACGTGGCGGGCAATGAAGTAGCACACACCAGCAGGGAACGCCACACCGTACAGCACGCCGAAGACGCCGATCACGCGGTGCTGCACGCGGGCGCCGGGCATCACCAGTGCGGACACCGAACCAACGAAGATGCCGAGGTGCATCGCGTGCGACACAACGTAAGTCAGGGTCGGGAAGCGCATCGCAGCCCACGCACTCGCCGCGTCCACGCCGCGCCACCGCTGAAAGGCCGCCGTCACACCGCAGTGCACGCACCCGAACACAGCGGCGAGCAGCGCGTTGCCCACCACCATCCACAGTGGATCAAGGGCAGCGAACACCGACACGAAGTACGGCAGCGCAACGGTGCTCGCACGCTCCTGCGCCGAGGCGCATGACATCCTCGCTAGCACGCCAAGCGCCTGCATCTCCAGGATAGAGCCCAGCCCGCCGGACACCACCACGGCAACAGCCGTCGCACCCGCAACAACGCCGGTGATCACCGAGAGGGCGCTGGCAGCGGCGGGCAGTTTGTCAGACCTGATCGTGAAAGACCCAAGCAGCACTCCCTTGCAGCCGCCAGACACCGCCACAGCGTCGCAGCGAATGACTATCGTCTCGTCGGCTGCAATGAAGTAACCGCGGTGCACGGGCACAGCGAGCTCCAGGACGGTGGACGGATTCGTCGCGTTGCGCACCCACGTCGCGTAGCTCAGCATCGCTCCCCACGGACCACCAAACCCACTCGGCTGCGCCGTCGACACAGGCACAAAGCTCAGGTGCGTGCCGAGTTGCGGGTCGCTTGCCCACCGAAACGGCGGCGGCAGCGCCACCATCAGCAGCGTCGGGACGGCGCCCCCACCGCCGCGAATGTCGCTCTGCGTCAGGCTCCCACTAGCCGCCGTCGTCGTCACGGCAAGCGTCGGGCACGCCACGTCGCTCCACCACGGCGTGCTGCTCACCGACGTCGTCGGGGTCTGCGTGGGCGACAGCGCCACCGTTCCCGTCACCTGCAGTGTCTCCGTCGGCCCGTACTGCGTCGGACTGTAGTGCGTCGCGCTCAGGCTCGGCGTCCACGTTGGTGTCGGCGTCGGGCTGCGCGTCTCCGTCAGCGTCGCCGTGTGACTCAGCAGCGGCAGGGCAGACGTGCGGTTGCACCCGTCCACGTGCGGCAGGTACACCGGCAAGCAGTCGCGCCCGTACCCGCCCTCAGCACAGCGGCAGCGGCACGACCCCGACATCGCCCTCGTCGCAGCAGCAAAGCAGCTCACGTCGGCGTCGCAAACACTGCACGCCACGGGGCGGAATTCCCCGATGATGCCGGCGGACCTGTAGTCAATCGGCTGCAGCGCCTGCCCGTTGAGCGTCAGGCACCCCACGACGAACCTTCGGTCGGCGCCCCCGAGCACAACGGTGCCGTCCATCACGACGGGCCCGCTGCCGGCGTTCCCGTGGAGCGTCAGCGTGCTCTGCGCAAGTTCCGCACTGCGCGGGTACGACGGCACCGACAGGAGCCTGCCGCTGACGCTGTTGCCGCGCACCGACAGCCACGACCCGGACGCGAACGACGCTGACCCCCGCAGCACCAGCAGCGCGCCATCGGTTAGCGCACCGACGTTTTCATTCACTACGACGGCAGACGCGTTGGCCTCAACACCGCTGTCAAACACCAACCCATGTGCGGCGTACACCTGGCTCCCCGACACGCGCAGCACAGCGCCCCCAGACGTCACCACGCGCGCACTTGCGTACAACGCATAGTCGCCACCGAACACAGCCGCGTCCAGCGCGACACCGCCACCGACAAGCTCCAGCACGGCGCCGTCCACCACCACCGTCCGCCCACCAGTCATCACGGTCACGAGGGCAACGCCGGACACAACCAGCACGGACCGCACGAGTCGCAGGCCCGACAGCACAAGCACCGGTGCGTACGGCGAGGACTGCGAGCCGGGAAGATACACAAGCGGCGTCGACCTCGCGGCAACCAGCAGGGAGTCCGTCACCGTCAGCACGGACCCCGCGGGAAACGTGCCGGTCAGCACAAGCGCACCGTTCAGCGCCTCCACATCGCACACCGACAGCTCCACCGGCCCGCTCTCGTCGCTCCCCGCCGCCACCGCGCCGCGCAACGCTCCACCGCCCATCACGTACAGCACGGCGCCGTTCAGCAGCGATACGTTCTGCACAACAATCCGCACGCCGTCCCGCGCCATCCACGGCACGTAGAGCACCGGACTCACACCGTCCAGCACAACGTGGCGCAGCGTCACCTCGCTCGCGCCGGCAGGCACAACGAACACCGACTGCACCGTCACGCCCTCGCGGACGAACACACTCGACGCGGTGCCCACAACGGGCGGCAGCGCGGGAGCTCCCACAGGCACGCACGCCTCGCCGTACCCACCGCTGCCACACGCGCACACGCACACACCGTTCCTCATGCTCGCCGACGACGTCCCGGGCGCGTAGCAGTACGTCTCCCTGTCGCAGTCGCCGCACCCAGCAACGTCGATGCTCCCAGCGTCGCCAAAACCAGCTGCTGCGTACTCCTCCGCCGTCGACAAGACACGTCCACCAGCGTCGTTGCACGCCACCCTCAAATGCGCCCCAGCCGAGAGCGACAGGCTCAGCGACAGCATCCGCGGCAGCAGCGCTCGGTTGCGCACAAAGCTCAGCGTGCTCCCAGCAGCGGTCACGGCGCCAGCGGCGTAGAGCATCTCCCTCGAGACGCCGTCGTGCACGTTGCCCTTCGCAAGCAGCATCGACCCGCCGGCCAGCCTCACCGTCGAATAAAACGCCACCGCGTAGTCCTCCGTCAACGAAAAGTCGCTCCGCACAAACGCCACAGCGGAGCCCGACACGCTCACAGCCCCGCGCACAGACACCGCGTGCTTGCACAGCAGGAAGTCGCTGTCAACAAACGCCACCACGGAGCCGCCGCTGGCAGCAACACCGCCCTCCACCGACACGCACTGCCCCAGCGCCGTCTGCACCGACAGCCCGTCCACGTACAGCGCACCGCGCGACGACAGAGCCACGCCGCCAACCACCAGCACGCCAACAGCGTCGCCGAACACCGCCGCCACGTGAGTGCGCGCGATGGTCAGCACGCTCCCCGTCAGATTCACGTTGTGCACCACGAAGCACGCGGAGACATCGCCAAGGTCGTAGGTGCCGCGGTACGCAACACGCGCCTCTGCGATCAGCACCGAGTCCACCACAGTGACGCGCGAGCCCGGCGGAAATCGGTTCGCCACCACCACGCCGCCGCCGGAGCGCGACTCAAGCCCGCTGACCAACACATCGACGCGCTCGCCAGCAGGCGGGTCGGACAGCCACCCAACAACGTACAGGCTCGCTCCGCCCAAAAAAGTGCAGCTCGCCAGCGTCACGTTGCGCACGCTCCCTGACATCAACTCCACGTCCACCACGACGTCCGCCGCAAAGGTCACACCAACGTAGCACACCACCGACGTTCCGAACCTGACTTTCACCTCTCCATCCACACGCACGTCCCGCACGCACAAGTCGGCGCCGTCGGTGCTCGGTGGCTCGGGGACAGCAACGGGCAGGCACGCTTCGCCGTGGCCGCCCTCCGCGCACTTGCAGGCGCAGCCGTCACTCGAGGCCGTCGTCGTGTACGCGGGGAAGCACGACGTCGCAAGGGTGCATGGATCGCTGCAGGTCAGGAATGTGGCATTGTACACGGACGGGATGACGTATTTCGCCCCCTCCTCGCCGTTCACGGTGTTGCACGCAGCCACAATCGCTCCGTTCGTGAGGTCTCTGGACACTGCAAGTATCCGCAGCACTGTCGGCGTGCCTGTGCTGGACATGAATCGGTTGCCGGACACTGATACCGCGGAGTCGCGGAGATTCACCGTGGAGTAAAAAAAAGCAAAGGCTTCCGATGGGGATACACGGCAGAGGTTGCCGCTCAACTGCAGCCAAGAGTTGTAGTAGATGTTGGAAGAGTATCTTGGAAAAAAAACGACCAAGCTTCCCTGCATGTCGTTCCCCTGAAACACAACCGCTGAAAAAGACTCCACATGTAAGACCGACAAAATGTTCATGAAGTACTTCACCGGCCTCGTCACAAAGTTGCCTCGGATCACCACGGCAGAGCCGTTCAGTACGATCAGCGATGAGGACTGGCCAGACCTTTCAAGATATATCAGCGTACTGTTAGCGCCGTCCATATGAAACGTGTTGCCCATCACCGCAAACACAGAGTGCCACGACACCCTCAGCGCAGATC